ACAAAAAGTGATATTTCTATTTAATTTTTTCTTTCAATTTCTTATAATTCTTCATTCTACAGTAAAAATTTCTATAATGCATGAAAAATTCTTCAAATATTTGTTACATTCTTTACAAATGAAAGAACGTCAAAACATGTATGAAATAATGTAGCAATGGTAAAAATAAAGTGAAGAAATGAATGTGGTGATGTGTGTTTAATCTGGGTGGCCAGATATTGTCATTATATTTATCAAAAATAATTTAGCACTTTTATATAAATTTAAATAAATATTCTGTTTTTATGAATTTTTGTTGTGAGCCATTTTAATATTTACACTGCAAAACAAGTAGATATATCAAAATTGATAATGATAATTAGTATGTTAATATTTTTCTAGATAAATAGTATCATAACAAAAATGAAAAAAACATTTAAATATCATAGATTTTTAAATAAATGCATCAAAAATCCATATTGAAAAATAATATCAAATTAGAATGATTTAATTTAAGAAAAATCTTTGAATAATGAGCCAATATTTTATGTAAATAATATTAAAAATACACATCTATGCATTATAGTGCTATATATATTGAAAGATAAATTGAAAATAGAATATGAGGTAATTGATAATATGATATATTTGCTATGAAGAATTTGATAATGTTATATATTTGATATGAAGTAATTGATCATCCAATTATTGATTGAATAATATTTACATTTTATATTGTAAAGAAAATCTGTAGCATTTACCTATCAGTCAGATTACTTCTTGTTCGGACTTTCGATTATCTGTTGAAGGGAAAAAATAAAAGTATACCTTCTACATACCCCGGTCATGCATACCCCGTTTGGATAATGTGCATATTGAGAATTTTTGAGGGCTTAAGAATGACTTTGAGCGGTCATAAATGACGAATGATTCATTTAGTCGAATATACTCGTAACTAGAGGTAAGAGAGGGAGTATCCGCGGATGCAGCGTAAGCGTGTACGTGCACACCAAAGTCGATTCTACAGGCCTCGAACAATTTAATTTGTGAATTCCGCTCAGACGGGAATGGAACGAGTGGTTTTCCAGAAATACTCATCTTGTCTCTTCTCTCTCTCTCTCTCTCTCTCTCTCTCTCTCTCTCTCTCTGTCTCTCTCCCTATCCCTTCTCTTTAACAGTGCTTGTACTTAGCCCAAACGAAGGATTTTATTACATATGATTTTATCATGATTCAATTATTTTCTCATGCAATCAATGAAATTACGTACAATAGACCAATAATATTGAATAATTGATCGAAACTTTTCGTATGATTTCTACCCTTCCTTAATTCATTCGGACTGCTACTTGCAACTTGTCTGTAATCAGCATTAATTATTTCAATTCTCATTAAAATGATTAATAAACCTTTATTTTAGCTTATATAAATAGAATATAGCATAAATTATGATTACTTGTGGGCTAAAAAAATTAAATATTACTACCATTAAATAGTGTTACAATTAATAATAATGGTCTATATACTTTTCTCTTTATATATTACCATATTTATTAATATATATTAATATTTATTATTTACATATTGGTAATAAAACTTGATATTAAATATTACTCTTGATATTAATACTTGAACAGGAATAAAAATGTTATCAACTTTTATTCATAATATAATACTATGTTTGTATGTATAAATTTAAAAATGAATACAATATGTTTTTGATTCTTATAATTAAAACTGTGTATATTAGCACTTTAAAATAATTCATTAAGTAACTAGAAATTTATAAAAATCGTAGATTTAATAAATAATTTCCGTATGTCTTCAAAATTTGTATCATAAATAATAATTTGTATAAATGAATATAAGTATGTATTTCTATATATATCTTTAATACAGTTACTAAACAAAACAAAATTATAGATAAACTTTTTCATTGCCCATTTGTATATAAATTTTCAAGAATATGCATGGTTATATAAATATAGGAGCATTTAAATTACTATTTTAACATTAAAATCATATTATGCTACATGGTTAATATTTATATATTGTGTACATTCTAAAATCTCAACATTATCCATTATACTTATTACTATGTATGAATGCATAGTTCTTCATTATTTAACTATTGCATTAACATTAATTTACTCTTTTTTCACTCTTTCTATTTTTTATCCTCTTTTGCTTCCTGATATGTACATGCCTAAGTATATATCTACAGATAAATTTTTATATAAATCTCTTTATCACTGTCTATTTATATGATATATAGTATCTCTAACGATTCAACTAGCCAACACATTGATATAATAACATCAATTGTATAACGAGGAATGAATCAATTTGATGATTGAAAAAACTAACTTAAATATTGTTCTTAAATTTATCATCGAATATGATTAAATGAATTCTAGGAATATATGAAAATAAAGGCTTATTTGTAAGCATGTAAATTAGTAATATTTCGAGAAACCACTTAATCCTAAAACTTAAAATACTTGTTTATTATAATTTGCTTAAATATTAATAAAATTTATAGATATATATATATATATATATATATCGTAAAAGTATTATATATAAGTATTATTTTTTTATCGTATTTATTTTGACGATGCAAAACCCGCCAATGTGAGTATTTTTTAATTTTCAAAAAAACTACATTACGATCATTTATTCTATAATAATAGATAACAATTAAATTGTTCAGATTTTCATATTCGCTTATAATATTATTAACTATAATGGATTAAAACTAAAGAGTTTTAAAATTCCTTTTTAAGAACACAAACTTTTTTTGTAACATATAAACAATTTTGTTTTACGTACACCTCTATAAATTATTTATCGATAGATAGTCTGACCGTTAAGAAACAAACGACCGAATCATTATTCAAGGATCCCTTTTTTCACGCACATGTACAAACTGTATGTGGTTACTGTATAGCTACGGTTTTATAGTCTAGTGTATAGCTATAGGTTATGATAGCTTTTGTATTTTTTGTGAAATGCATAGTAATTATGGCCATCTATCATTTCTTTAATATGAAAATATATATTGTCCCTGTTTTGACAAGCTTGATATCTTTACATACAAAATTATGAGATAAATTATATACATAAATTTAAAATGCTCATGACCATTTCATGTTTACACATAAACTTTTGAAAAGAATACATTATTTGAATTTCGAAGTGATTCATGACTAATTTCTTATATTGATTAAAATATTATAAGTAGGCTATTAGAGGGAATAAAATTATCTAAGTATGAATTCAAAAAAATAAAAATATTAAAGTTGTAATAATAGAAATAGTATTTTTTATTAAATCAAAATTTATCTAAAATATGTAAGAAAAATTTATGAAATGTTATTAGTTTTGATGCGTTTAAAAAGAAGTGTAAACTTCTTTGAGTAATAAAATTCTGTCTTAATATAAACTTAATTTAAAATATTGCCACATTTATATCAAATTACTATGAACGAATCATGGTTTATAAATATAAGGAATAAATATCTTATTAAATACTATTTTAAACGTACCACAATTGATTTCTTATATATTGTAAATAAGATTAAAAACGACCTCGTGTTATCATTAAATAACATGCTAAAAATTTCGAAAATTATATTTATTTCCTCGTGATACCAATATCTCCGAATACCCTTATTTTTATTACGATAACTTCAATTAATAATTAGTATACATAATTAGAATAAATGCAAAGAACAAAAGCGAGTTCTTTTTTTTGGCTTATTGGAATATATTATCATTGCTATTTATCTTCTACTCCTCATATATTTTGTACTTTTTCTCTGTTTATTACATTTCATCTTGAAGAAAAAGTTGTACCGAAATGAAACTTGTCCCTATAAAGTCAATAAGAAGTTATAGTCTATTTAAAATCTGTTTAAAATATAGTAAGCAAAGTAAAGTATAATTTTATTATTAATTATTGGGATAATTAAAAATTTTTTTATATAAAACTATATAAATTAATTGTATTATGAAAGTTAGCAAATAATTATTAAAATTTCTTCTATTCAATTTATGTACACGAATTTGATTTTAAGCTTTTTAAGTATATTTAAAATATGTTTTTAATAATAAAATATTTAAATTGATTACAAGAAACATAAATTTTCATTTATTTTATAACATTTATTTCTACATAAACATAATTATTGTTTTTTTGTAGTTATATTTATAGTTTAGATATTTATTTATAGTTTGTCTTTTTATGTGTTTTTTTTTATTTTTTGAATTAAATTAATTAAAATAAGCGTATTTAAAAAATTGTTTGAGATATACACTGTGATTGAGAATAATAATATACACTTACGTTAAAAAGCGTTACAACTTGATGATTAGTTATTTATGTTTTAGATATTATTTTTAATTTTTAATTTAAAATAGTTTATAGCTAAATAAATTTGTTAACGAATAACACACTTATATATTGATATAAAAGAAACAATTATTAATTGTTGTGTTTTTAGGAAAATTACATTAACCAGAAACCACCAATGTGATTGAGAAGTATTTAAAAACTCAAATATTTGTGCGTAAAAATGTACGTGCGTGCGTACATTATATATTATGATTTAATTGTTTAAATTCCACGTTTAATTTATTTGTCACATAATTGTTGTGAAAGATTATTTTAAGTGAGTATAATATAAATTATTATAACATTTTATTCACAGGTACTGAAACCAACGATTAATTTCATACATAAAATATTTAAGATAGATTGAGAGCATTGAGCGAAAGATGAACAAAAATGCCATTTACTACAACATTTGAATAACAATTGAATGTACAGAAGCAATAAAAATATAGTATAAATAAAAAATTAAAATAAGGAAACACTCGTAACCTTAATTGTAGAAATAAATTATCTAATAGTTTTAAACCGTATGCGTACCCATCGCCTTGCGGCGCTTATGGCGTGCCATCGGCTGATCGGGTGACAGCGCTCCATCATTGTTTGAATGTAGTTGCGGTGGTGTCACAGGTCTGGAGCGGGTTGCGGAGGAGTTGATGGGCCGTAGGAGATGGAAACAATATCAGGACACCCTGTACACCGGCACTCGCAACATCGACAGCACGTCTACTGTGGTGAGTCCACACCACCAGCAACAGCTTCAACTACAGCTTCAGCAGCTGGCGCAAGTGATTATTATTATTATTATTATTATTATTATTATTATTATTATTATTGATATTATTATTATTAATATTATTATTATTATTATAATCATTGGTACCATCATCATTATGGCTATCGCTATTGCCACGACTACAATCGCCGCTACCACCGCCGTCGTCATCATTATCATTATTATTTTTCATTTATAAATAATTTCAAACTCTAATTTACTAAGCAAAAGAGAAATAATTTCGCGATTAATGAATAATCGTTATTCATAATTGCCTATACAGTATTTCAAAGATGATATGAAGTAATTTTTTAATATTCGCACGATGATTAATTTGTCTTGGATCATAAACTAAATGAAAACTTGGGCCTTCAATTTATATTTGTTTCTGTCGCATTAAGTCACATGTAAGTAATTGCAATTTTACCACAGCTACCGTGACTCGAATAGTCCAGTAGTTGCATCCTCATACGATTACTGAAAACACTTAGCTTGAATTTTTTAGGCGAGAAAGACTATAAAGGCTCTACACTAGGTAGTAATTCTCACGAAAATAAGACTGATGAATCAACTGGTCATTAGGTGCAGCAAGCGAAGCCGGTGGACTCTCCGAGTCAGCCGCTAAAGACGAATTTAGCAAATCAGCAGCGGGTGGTCGCAGCCGCTGCCAACTGTACTGGCGAGCGTTCGCCTCGACGACCGGAAGAGACGACGGACGCGGCCACGAGCGGCCCGCAGAACGGCCGACTCACCGAGAGTGCCCGGGAGAACGGGGCTGCTTTAGGCGAAAACGGTCCAACGACGCGCAAGCTCGAGAGCGAGGAAGTGCCTCTCGAGGACGGGCGGACGAGCCTCGACGGACCCGAAGACGAGGAGCTCGAGTCAACGACCCAAAGGATCAAGAGAGAGCGTCTTGACGAGAGGATAAGGCTGAGTCCTCTGAGAGAGTCCGAGGAGCGCTCGGACAAGATCAACGACACTGAAGGGACCAAGGTATGTGTCACTTATCACCAGGATGTTCATGTTACGTGACTCTATTCGAGCAGGTGAATAATCCGAAGCCCATCTTAACTTTACTTTAGACATAGATGCTATTTAGCTATGCTTTATGACGAATTTTTTCTTCTCCATTAAACGTTCTAGATTAAAATGATTTCTACATAAGAAATTCTTCTCAACCAAACCAATAAATTTACATGAGGATTTATGAGATTGAAAATCTTGTCCATTATTATGTGGCCCAATGACATTTAAGTGTTCAAAATTGTTACATGTTTATGAAAGAAATGATCGAATTCAATGAGCATTTTCTTTTTATATGAAAATCAAACAATCATAACATTTCAGCTATTGCAATAAATATTTGTAATCAAGACTATTTACTGAAATTACACTTTCACATGACTATGTATAATAAAAATTTGTAAACAACACAAAAAATTATTTTAAACTTTTTTTGTAATTTAAATTTCTTAATGCGAAGATATTAATCTAAAATGCTGAATATCCATGTAAAAGATTAAAGCAAAATTATAAAATAATATTTAGATATACTATGGAAGGTCCATTAAATAACAATACTAATGCAAAAACAATTTTTGTTTATATATTATTTATATTTTTTTATATATAATTTATATTTATATATATTATTTATATGTTAATAAAAATTTGAAATTCAAATTAAATATAATTATTTTATATTGATAAATATCAAATAATGTTACATTTTTTAACTTTCAAACAAGCAAAATATTACCGTGCGTGATTAAATAAACGATACTCTGATTTATAATGTAAAACCAAACGGTGTCGTTTTGACCATTTGGTAATATAATTTTCGATCGTACATAGATTCATGTAATATATAATATAGTATTCAAATTTAAAGTGATTAAAAATGCAGACAGATTTGGGATGCAGTACAAACTTTCTGGTAATCTTTATAGATTGATAGATTTTTCAATTTTTTACATTAGTTGGTATATAAATATTGTTTGTAAAATTTATATTTATAATACTTATTAAAATTACATACGCTTGTATACATATGTAAAAATGTCTTGCGGAATTATAGCTTATAAATTAAATTAAAATAATTAATATTAAATTTTTGTATTTTATATTAAATGGTTAAATAAGCAAATACAGATAACAGATTTAGAAAATAAATGTACTCGAATTACAATAAAATCCAACACGCTTAAAATTATAAATATAAATAATTGCAATACGCCCTTTATATTCGATCGTTTTTGTAGTTGTATCGAGTTTATAAATCAATATATAAAATTATTTATATATTTTTTTTATTATATTTTTTATCTTTAACTTAATAGGAAGTGAAGGACGAAGTAGGATTGGAGAAGGTTCAAGGGACGCAGGGCCTATTAAGGGTGAAGAAGGAAGAGGAGCTACAGGAAACGCCAGGTCCTGGGGATGGATTAAACTGCCAGAGTAGACCAACTTCGACGCCGATTAGCAATAACAATAACGGTGTGTGTGTGGAGACGCGCAGCTCCTCTACACCTCCGAAGAAAGAAGTAATATTCTGCTCGCCCTCGTATGTCTTGGGACGTCGATTAAGTCCACCACCCGAGGACTGGAAACCGTTGGATAAGTGTTACTTTTGTCTCGATGGCAAGTTGCCGCACGACGAACAGCCACCTCTTGTGAGTGTGTTTCATTATTTGTTATTATTTAGTTTCTCTTAGAGAATCGAATGCTATTACTATTGAATACTCGAATACAATTGCCTTTGTAGAAATTAATTCTTAGTATTTTTAAACGACATATTTACACGAATTACAGATAGTAATTAAAGAAAAATTGAAATTCAAGTGTTTCGATACATTATTTTCGAATTGATCAACACTCAAAAGTATACTGACTCCAAATTGTCATTTATAATAACACAGTAAGATCATTAGCTTCTACATTTATTTCAATATAATATTTAAAATATTATTCATACACAAGGTATCCTTGATTAATTTGTTAATGGACTCTTTAAACTCATGAAACTCTTTTCTTTAATGCGCTACCTGTAGAGTCCACAAAGCGACAGTAGCAATAGTTCGCGATCGGCAGAGTCACCCATGTCGGTCCAAGTTGATCCTATGGCTGCATCTGTGGTAGCAGCAGCCCTTAGTAGCACGTATCCGACGTTGCTACCACAATGGTGTTTACCGCCCAGGGAACAGCCTCACGTCGTTGTTGCCCAACAGCATCAACAACAGCAGCAGCAGCAACAGCAGCATCAGCAGCAGCAGCAGCAACAACATCACCATCACCATCATCACCACCACCATTCGCAGCAGCAGCAACAACAACAGCAACAACAACAACAGCACCAGCAGCAACAGCAACAGCAACAACAGCAGCAGCAACAACAACAAGAGAATTCTGGCATCGATCAGCCCCTCGATCTTTCCTCAAAGCCTAAAAATTCTCAGGTAAGTTGGAGCGCCACTTCTGAAGTTAGACACACCTTTGTACTTATTTGTAGATCAATAAATCAGAATTAGGAAGCACATATGATTAATCTTAGGTGATATAAGATCATTTCATAAATTGATAATTTTTCGGGGTATTTAGAAAATCTTGGTTGATTAATATTAAGTCATTCGATAACCTTTATTAACATATATATTCGATTAAATAATGCACTTCCGTTTATTATATATTTTATATTCTGAATCTAAAATGTGAAATTTCATCTAAAAATACGTAGATTATTTGTACAAGATTTAAAATTAATGACAGTTCGTAATAAAAAGTAAAAAAAAATCGAAAATACTGTATATTAATTTCATTATTAAAAAATAACGAATACTTTAAGATAAATTTTAAAAATATCTTTTTTATTATAAAAGTAATTAAAAGTATCAAGTTTATTAGTATTACGTAGCAAAAATGAATTTTCAATTATTCTAATAAAAGAGTTCAGCAACTCAAATGTTAATATATATTAATGTAATTTATGTTATCCATCAAAGATAAACACTTTCATTCTTTAATTCATAATTTTTCTATTTCACAATAACAGACTTAAATAAAAATAATAGACTTTCTCAATTCATTAATCAGATCATCATATTTTTTATTCTATAAATAAATTTATTTAAATATATTTTAATTCTCTTACCCCATAAATATTTCATACTTCAAATATTCTATACGTAATGCATGTTTCAATTATTTTTTTCTTATGAAAAAGCACGTAAATTCAATTATTAAATAATAATTTGTATTTAATTAAATTATAATTAAATTTACAAATAAGTATGTTTTACAAACGTTAATTATAAAAAATCTGTGATGCAAACAAATTAACGATTTCTTTTTCATTTTATAGATCTTTCAAATAAATTCTAGAATATGAAAAAAAGTGTATATCATTTTCTATAAAACACATTTATATTTAAATGGATGTTTTATGCAAAAGTAATTAGTAATGGGTCTTAAGTATCAAAATTGATTTATTTATAAAATTTTATTCAACAAATTATTTCACGCAAAATAATAGTATTAAGATTATTATATTATAACTATAATGAAGAAAATTAATTTTATCAACTTTAATTCTGATATTTCTTTATTTTTGAGTCATTAGAGAATTTTAATTAAAAATTTATGTATTTACGTCAATTATTAACATAATTATTAATAAAACCAAATTTTCAAAAAAAAATTGTTTTCATAAATATTGTTATTTTGTAAGTCAAATTTGTACTCTATATATTATATGTTTAAGTAATATACTGTTTATGAGTAAGATTGACACTTGCACAAATAGTTTAGTTAAAATAATTGCAATTAAAATAACATAATTCATAACATATTATACATGGTGCTATTCAAAATTTTTTCAATTTTATAATTCTATCATTGACAATTATTTAATTTTATTTAATAGCATTACGACCTGATTAACTATAATACTTTAACAATCGACAACATTTGACTTCACAATTTTTTATTACAGGATAACAACATATCTATATTGGAGCAACAAAAAATACCTCTACGAATGACGGCAGCCATCGATCCAAAAACTATTTTCAAGTTAGTAAAATAAAACACAAAAACAGTATAAATAAAACACATAGGAGCGTTAAGAAACTAATCTCTCAAAATGTAAGAAATTTAATAAATAGTCCAATAAGTATATAGATATTTTAATTAAAAGAAAATTATTGTCGTTAAAATCTTTTTTGTTTAATGAGTAAAATTTATTCATATAATAAATTCTTCTGTAGTTAATAAAACATTTACTAAATTTATAATAAAAAAAAAACAATATTCAATTATTCAAAGAAAGTTTTTATTAGTGAGTTTCTATAGGTGTATTCTATAATTTCAAATAAAATTTTAGGTTTACATATGAATACTTCTTCCTAATTATTTATTTAAATATTAAAAATTTTTTTAAATTTTTTACACTTTAATTTCTATTGTTAGGAAATAAAAAATAAATTTAAATTGAAGTAATCTGCAAATGATAAGTTGTAGCTAGTGATCAAATAATTGATCCAAGTTTAATTAATTCGTATACAAAAAATAATTTCAATCGTTAATTTTTTTATCACAATTCATACTGTAAGATGATTTTAATAAATCGTACAATAAATACGGCAATAAAACTAGAGAATGGAATATTTCTGTATAATATTTTTTAAAACTTTGGAATCAAATGGTTCATTTACGAGAATGACTAGTTTAGCATGATAGTCGAAAAGCAGATGAATGGATTACAGTTACAATTCTCAATTGCGTAATATAATATGTCTCCTACCGTTGGCACATTTTTACTTTTTCTATAAAGATTTATAGAAAGATTGAAATAGAAAGTATTCATTTTTATAGAAGTTATCCGAAGTCTAGACATTCGTAATCGATAAAAAGGGTAATCTCGACTTCCTTATTCAACTACTTTATCGTTCATTTTCGTGTCTTTAGCGGGTCTATTTTCCTCAAATACTTTGAACTTTGATCGATTTTATTCCATAGATTTTCTAGTTGAAAGAAGTCGCCGAGATTAACTAAGAAAGTAGTTTTCAGAGACTATTAAAATCAGGTCTTTGAATTTTTGGATTAGTAACTTGAGGTCACTCATCCCCGTCCAATTTTATTAAACTTACAAAGATCTATCGAATAAGTCGTTGCAGTAAATTGTTTCGATTTCACTAATTGTTTATTTGGATCGTCAGGGAGGAAAGAAGACAACAGATAGATCAAGCAACACGGAGAGACAAGTACGTTGCCCCCGGCGAGGCACAACCGCTCCGATATTTTTCATCAGACTTCAATTGCAGCACTCATACACGCTCTCATACAATTTTTATCGATGTCTATTATTAGTACGCTTGGAGGAGCGATTACCGAGGGATTGTTGTGGATTCGAAACGCTACCGACTATGCTGGAAATCTGGGGGCTTGATAACGCATTGCCTTTTCACTAGCTGATGTTTTATATATTAATTATATGATCAAATACGTTCGATCTTTGCAATGTTACTAAAAAATATTGAGTTGTATGCATATTGCTCGTACCATTTTTATCAACTAAATTCAGTTTTTTAATGAAGGGTTCTTTAACTTGCTACTTATTTTTGGTTGTGCATGATATTTTCTTAGAATAAGCTGTACATCTGTTTTAACATGGCAATATTTTATAAATGTGATTGTAAAAACATTATATAATTTGGATAAAGATCCTTTTACGGAATTACTGCATTGCAATTATATATGAAATAATAACGAAATGCCAATATACTAAGAATGAAATAGATTTTCAAATCGATTGTTTCTTAAACGAGAGAATGTTTGATCCATAGGTTTTGTCAATATTATCTAAATTACTAGCTAGCTGTGAATACATTCACTGGTTGTCTTTTCATCATTTATATATTTTAAGTATAGTTTCGTAAAAGCTTTTATAAATAAATAGAAATTAATGAATAAAAATTCAACTGAATATAATCTTTAAAAGTTTTGCATTTTTTTATATAAGAACATGTTATTATAAATAGTTAAAATGTTTAACTTTTATGTTGCTTTTATATTAACAAAAATAATATAGCTAATTTTGGTATTGACAAATTAAATTAATGTGTATTTGTTAATTTTACATTTTACAATACTTTTCTAATTCATATAATATTAGTATTGAATTTAAAAAATGTTAAATAATTTAAATTAGGCTTCTTAAGAGTTACTGATAATTTTAAATTGGATAAATAAGTACAATAATTTTTCAATTGAATTGAGATTTTTTTTCTGTTTTCTCTTGTTGTTTGTCTTTTTCATTTCACAAATAAAAATGATCAAGAATCAATATTTCTAATGTTAATTTTGTATACGATTCCATTATTAAATTAATCGACTGTAAATTCTTAATTATTGCTTCATAGAAATTCAACGAAATAAGTCATTTTATCGGCATTATAATATTAAGAACAGACAATGTTCATTTTATAAGCGAGCAGGCTTTGAAAGACAGTGATCATAAAACAAAAATCACGTGATTTATCAAAGTGGATGAATATCGCTATAGAGTGTGCAATAAAACGGAAAACTCGATATTGCCATTTTACATATTATTATTGCTTTTATTTCGAGTCATTTAAAAAAAACAATTGATCAGATATTGGTTTTTAAAACTGTAGAGTATTGAGTACAGAGCTCGCATGCCAACGTGGCCACGACATTTCAAACATCGGTCGCCCCTTCCAACTGGAACGCGCAGTAAGGACAAGAGGCCACGTCATCATGCGCGCACCAAATGCACTTTTATCTACGAATTCTCGCGGTCAGACGAGCTGTACTACCACTTACTCGTTTTCGCAGAGAGGTCAATGAACTTGCGTTTGTACATGCGCTCTGAGGGGGAAAGAATCGCATTTCTCGTACTAGTCAAAGCTGAAGGAAGTCCCATCGACTGACTGGGCGTTGATTTTCTCTCTCTTTCTTATACTCGTTGATGAAATAAGAGAATGTAGTGAGTAGGGGAATGACAAGTTAAGAGCGATTGAAGAGACCTAATCTTATCACAGTCTCAGTAGTCTCACAAGTCAAGAGACACGCCGCTCTGTTCGTCGTCTTTTCGATGTTTATCGGTCAAGCGCCTCAAGTCGTAAACTGCGAAATGCGATGGCCGATCGGCCATTGACATTATGTGAAGTTATAACTCTATCTGTATTTTGGATTCCTTCAAACCTGTCTATAAAAATTTCTATCGAAAATGGCTCTGATATCCTAAACGTTGTCTTAGATTTCATTATTGTTAATTTTACATTGTACTTAATTGTGAAAGAATCCTTTTTTTAATATATGACGCTCTATTTTAAAAAATCTATATATACTGTCCAACTTACTGGAATAAATATATTCTTTTAAACTACACAAATTACATGTTCTTAAAGTAATTACTACATTAGCAATTATTACTGAAAAATTGTTTAAGTATATTTGGCAAACTATTTTATTAAATAAAATATTTTTTATCATAAACTTTTAATTCTAGTTTGGGATAAGATATAATATTCTATGATCTGATGGTAAACTGCATATTTAATACAATATGAAAAATAAAATTTTAAGCATTCACACAATTTTAAAAGGTCTAAAGCATATTTTAATTTTCTAAACTTTCAATTATTGCTCAATCTCAAATTAATTAATACTAATTAGTAGTTATTAATAAAAATATTATTTTAATATAGATATAGATATATATATAAATATCAATTTAGTTTAAAATGAGTCTGAAAGAAATATTTAAATTGACAATATATTTGAATAATTCAATCTGTTTAAAGGCTGAAATGAAAACTCATATATGACATTTTGTATTCAAATAGTCTGAACGGACTATATATTTCTAAATATTGTTTTTACAATTATGAATCATTATAATATATTTAAAAACTCATCAATTTTTCTACTTTTTGAAATTTACGATATTATAACATTGACAATGAATTAATACAACATATAATATTGATTGAAAAATTATATCTTGTAACAAACAATACATGATTTAATTGTTTAAAATCATTATAATTTTATCTTTTAAAGGGTGACAACTAAGCACACATGAAATTAATAGTAAGAAAATATATATTTTATCATTGAAAAAATTATAATGACAATATTTTTCAATAAAAGCATTAAAAAATTCAATACTTTGATAAAATTATCGTTGTTGATACAGTATTGATAAAAGTACAAGCACCTTTTCTCAAAACCAATATCATCTAAAATCATTATATATTTTATCAAGTCTAATCGCCAAGAAATTAATTTCACAATACAAGCCATTACTCTTAACTATCATGCAATAGAAACTGAATATTATAGAAAAAAATATTTTTAACATTATTGAGAATTAAATACGTGCGACAATATGCATATTATTAAAAAATTACTATTGTGACATTAAGAGATATAAATATATTATTATTTTATTAACTGCTTAATTTATGTATCATTTAATTAATGTTAATTCTAAATTAGAATATTAAAGTTGATTTATTTATATATTTATTTATTAATAAATAAAATATTAGAAAGTTATGTTTTATTATATAAACAGCATAAATATATATAAACTAATGATGAATTATTATATTTATATTTATATCAATGTTAAGTATGAAATCTATATTTAACACTACCTATATATACACTACATATATGCACTATATATATAAAAACTGTCATATAAATATTATCTATATATATATAAATTATGTATACTACGTAAGTTATTTGTAATATATAATATTATATTTATTTTATACTCAACATAGATATAAATATGATATAGATATTTATACAAATTTATATATTTGTATATATGTAAATTGTTACGTAATTTATTTAATAAAATTAGTGAAATAAAAAAAAACAGAAAATTCTTACAAATATTAAAAGATGGAAATTGTATTTTCGCATGAATAATCTCTTTATATACTCACAAATTTTCCATCTTTAAAAATCAAAATCTTGATAAAATACTTTTGGTTTGATATTAATCAGAAACACTGCTAGTAGAATGTATGATCATCTTCAGCAAATATTAACTTAATAGCAACTGCCTATGTACTTTTCAAGTAATGCCATCCGACATAGAAATTTCGCAAGTACATCAATTGTGAAATTCATAGATGCGTTGAGTGAAATAATCGAATGTATCATCGTTAATGCATACGAGAAATTGAGTAAGAGTAAGGGAGGATGTATGAACAAAATAATTGTTAGGTTAAGCATTAAAAACTTCTAATGACGTGCATAATAAAATCTATTAACTAACGAATGTTCTTTTGTTCATTTTTTAATCAAAAGCAAATTACTCTCAAACTACATTTTGAATATAGTATCTGAAAAAATTAATTAATTACTGCATTATTCACAATGTTTCATTTACAAATCATTAAGATGTGTTTAGTTTATTTACATACATTTATTGACTGTAATTTATATAAATGCAAACAAATTTATCTGATTCAACGGCGGTATAATCATTAATACGTTTTATTAATTAGAATTTGATTGTGCATTCGTCTGACTAATTTCAGTTTATACTACTTATAGATAATTCATAGATGTGTAAATAGACTTTGTCCGAAATGTATTTTGCTCTATATCCGATGATTATTCCTTCATTCAATTAATAGAAAAGTTGTATGAATAGAAATCATTTGTAATTGTTATTAACAAATTTTTGAATAGATTTTAGTAAATTTGAATTGAATTAATTATAAATGTAAATAATTTTTTATAAATAATGAATATTTTAATTTAATTAATATTTCATTTTGCTCAATTTACTCTACGTAAATCTTGCAAATGTAGGTTAAATCATTAAAATTATTGAGAAATACTCATTTTTACATGTCACACCGACGAGAATAATGTTTACATCTGTAAGAGATTAGAGATTCAGAAGTCAGTAACTATTTAGGAATTAAACTGTATATTAAGACGACAAAAAGAGTATTTGAATATTAAGAAAATTAGATATATATTATTATGCCGTAAATTTATATTAATAAAATTAAGATTCTATATTTATATAAAAAAGACGAAATAGTTGATTATATCATTCTTTTCAAACAACTAATATTATCATATATAATTATTAAAATATTTTATACAAATAATAATATGATTAAATTTACCACTTATTACCAGAATTATTATTAACACTCATCAAATCATGAATATTATATTCAGAGAAATATATAAAAAGGGAACGATCTTTTGAAAAATATGATTACAGAAAATTCGATATCGTGAAATGGCATAATCATCCTTTAATAATTTATTTCTTTAAGAAAATACGCACGATCGCAGAATATTACATAAATAATGATGACATCATATAATAATCTGAATAATCATCTGAGAAAAGAGTATGAGGTCGGTGCCTTTGAACATTGCAGCAGCACCTGCTACAGGGCGAAGCCTCGAGTAACGGGTGGGATGACAGCGGCCGGGGTCCCTATTGTCGGGAGCGGTGGTGGAGGACGTCGAACCTATACCGAGGACGAGCTTCAGGCAGCCCTACGTGACATTCAGAGTGGCAAACTCGGCACCCGAAGAGCGGCAGTCCTCTATGGCATACCCCGCAGCACACTGCGAAACAAGGTCTACAAACTTGCAATGGAACGTGAGAGGGATGCGTCCCTCTCGTCTGGCACCAACGCCATCAACAGCACTCAATCACATAATGAGGTGGTGGGGGCAACGGGGGCGGCCAATAGTAATACGCACGGGTCGAATACTGCCTCCAGGGCGACGGATGCTTCGATAGCCACCACCATCGCCGCTATCACAACCACAACCACCACCACCATCACCACAACAAATACGAACCGACAGAATGCCCTTGTGGCTACTCTACAGGTCGACGAGGTAGGTTTTGGGGATGTCACGTGAATCGGGCCGAGTTTGTAAGCTCAAAGAGGGACTGACGTATTTGGTTGCGTGTGAGGTCCCAGATGGTGGCACCCGCCCATGCATTCAAGTTCAGGAATAACCTTATTTAATTCTTATACTATTAATATCAAATGAATGATGAATTCAGTGATGGTTATTTCCTGAATGATCTCCTTATATTGTATTCCGAAATTTTTTCTATCATTTCAAATGTTTATAAGTTTGATCATTTCTCGAAGAGAACCGTTGTGAACTTATGTTATTAATGTTTTACATTTTACATTTATAATATTTAGTTTAACTTTACCACAAATATTGCATCGCCATACTATCGTAGTATCGTGATATATTATAGTTAATTCACCATTTGAATTTAACGCTGTCATAGACAAATAAATAAGGCTTAACAAGTAAATAATTGAGGAAAAATATTTAAATAAATTAAATTCTTATCTCTTTAATATTATCCATTGTCAATATAATTGCAACTAGTTTTTATTATAATGTAGAAGATCACAGTTATAAAAAGTAGCGTACAATTATAAACAATTACTTTTTTGTATAGACTTTTATTAAACATTTAAAGAAAATGTGTATCATAAATTGCAGCAAGGTATCTGTTATGCTCCTAAGTAAATGACAAATTTATTTAAAATAATTATTTCTGTGCTACATCATTTTATGGTTTCAATTCCATAAGTCGCATGAAAAAGAACATGAAAAAGAAATATACTTATAAAGCTTTCTTAATATTATCCAATAATAAATTATCCAATAATTATTGATAACAATTTATTTTAATTGCGGTTTTGGTTAGGAAGAAAAAGAAGCTTCCCCAAAACATACCTCTTGGCAAGACAATCGCAGAATTCTCGTAGATGAAGAAACGTACATTATGTTTCTATGTCTTGCTAAAGCTAAAAGTAAAGCATATATTTATGTTTATATACATTAATAATATGTTTTTCACGATTCATTCAAATTATCGTGTTCAAAATTAAAGGAGCCTAAGTTGAATGTCTACGCGTTTTCTCATACAATTGCTCAAAAAATTTGCGATTTCCTCTGTATGTTGCATTGACTGAATTTCAATTTTATTTTGATGTACTATTCTGTATTTATAATTTACCTTTTGACCCTCAAAACTTCCGGAACTCAAAGTAAGTTTCTGGAATAGTTTAGCGTGTATATGCGTGCTACATAAAAATGTTATTTTCCTATTAACGTAGAAGTTATATTAAATATGAGTAACATACAAAAAAGTAAGATGAAACAAATTTACATAATATTATTTTTTATATTTTAAATTTTTCAACCACAATGTCATAAGATATTCAACTTTTAAAAATTTTATTACTATTGACTATTTCGTACATGTATAAAATGATTCCAATCACTTTCTATGCAAAATTTATTTAAAAAAATATATCATAAATTATTATTCTTTTTTACATTAAATATAAAACTATTACTCGATATAATTTTAATCTTAGTATATCAAATTATTCAATATAAATATTTTCTATTAAAAATTATATAATTAAATATTCGCTTCCATTAAAATTGGTTTAATACTTAATTATTAAATATTTAAATATAATTTATTAATGTAATTAAATTTTCTCTATTTTTGAGTAAGTAAATATTAATTAAAGTGAATAAATATTTTTAAATATACGTTCGAAACATAATATATTGTTTCCATGATATCTTATTAAACTTTATCACTTATATTTACAATAATTACAATTATTGTAGTATATTAAGGCTTTGTACATGTTTAGTACATTCTCTATAATATTGATAAAAATTAAAAATTTAACACTTACGAGTACTAAAGTATTTATATAAATAATGTTTATAAATGTATGGTTGAATATTCCTAAGTAAAAATCTATAAACCAATAATAATAAAAATTGTATACAATCGTAATTTTTTATTTAATTGGCTTTATTTTTATACAGATGTTCGCATATACATGCAAAAATTCGTTCTTATAATATATATTTCATACGAAAAAATTGGTTTTTAGTTTTGAAAAAACTCTGAAAAGGAAAGATAAAATATCTAATACTAATAAATAATATCATAATATTCATTTTTTTAAATTCATTCAATATATTAAGAATATTTTTTTTAACATACAGTAGAAAATAAATTAAATGCTTATTATGTTTTTATACAAAGCAATCGATACTTCTGTAAGTTTTGCACATATATGTGTCTAATATCATTCTCTAATAAGTACAATATGTTTCATTCACTGAAATTTATTTCATACATGTTTTTTATAATCAACGTCTCCTCGTATGATACTTTTATACTACCCCGAGTGCCAATAATTGTCCTAAAACTTAAAAACGAAAACATATACTTAAAATATTCATTGGTAAAGAGCATACTCAACATATACATTTGACCTTAGCCACTGAATCTCATACACGTAGGCATACATACTCATTTATATATATATATATATATATATACATATATATAAACACATACGTTTATACAATTGTATTGTATATATATATATATAATGTATAACAATTTTACTCATGTATACATAATATACGTACGTAAATTTAGTATACTCATTACATAAATTTCGAAAGTTTCATAAGTTTAAAGCTTGATAAAAATATAAAATACTATTAAAAATAAAATGCATAATAACCATCAGTGTGAAACTTATATACTACACGTGATGTTTTTTGTAACTATTGCCTTTTTAACTATTGAAAATAACAGACATGTAAAAGAAACAAAGTTAAAATTTTTTGTACAACTACTTTTTAATTTCTATATCATCAATTAATCTATATTTTGAATAATTCTTAATAAGAATTTTATTTAAATAAAGCTATTTTATCAAGAAATTTTAGACTTATAGGTCGCCGTTTTCAAACGAAAATAAATTTAATTGTTAAAAAGCTATTTAGTATAAAACTTTAAAATTTTTAAGAAATTGACAAAAATAGCTGCTTTCTACGAGCTTCTGCTTTATATTCATTCGAAATTGGTATAAGCAGAAATAGCTCAAAAGTATCGGGCTACCGCTCCGAATTATACGGTTATTTAATACGCTACTGCCATAGGTGGACGATAAGGAGCTATCGGGTGCAGAAGAAGAGAAGGAAGTAGAGAAAGCCTTGCTGAAACCCTTACTATCACTCGAGGATCTCGTGAGGTTTTCCAGTCTTGAGGGTAGTGGCGGTGATTCACTGAGGACTCTATTGCAACGCGGCCAGGAAAGTGGAGCCACTGAGTGGTCAGCCTTCGAACATGCCAATATTGGACCCTACATACAAAAGATGTTGGCAGCTGCTGCTCCGTTTAAAGGTGGGTACAAGTTTGCCTCTCGAATTCGGTAATTATGTCCGTAGGAATTCACGCCCTCGAAATATATTTTTGAAAGAATTCACGATATTTACAACTGTTTAAATTGAGTATTAATTCAAAGTGATAAATGGATTCATAAATTTATTCAAAATATGCACTTTTTTACTTTCAGTGAAAAATGTACTTTCTCTTATTTAATCATATAATACGGCATATACAGAAATAAAACCCTTTTAAAAATATTACTTTTTCCTTCAAAGCATGCATTTTACATATGAAATTTTATTCTATAACTATGTATATTTTTATAATTGTTATATTAAGAAAATTACTAATCTGTCTAAGCATAATATTTTATATTCCGATTAAATTTGAATAAAAACATTCATATATTAACCTTGATTTAAAATTCATTTCGTATTTATTAGAATATTAACTACTTATAATTATTCTTGTTATTCTATAAAAAAGACATAACTTATTAAAAATATTTAAAAAGTTGAACTAGTTTATTGCAAATTAACTTGAAAACTATTACTATAATACTATACGCATTTATTCGAAAGATATAATACGTATATTTTATGACATAAACTGACCAAACGAATTTTTATATATAAATATTTTTTTCTTTATAAAGTATAATACAATTTTAAAAAATTTATTAATTTATACTGTTGTCGTCAATTTTCTTGCAATAGATTTGGGGCATTACAATATAAGAATGCTTTATACAGTTGTTTAAAATTAATATTTGGAATTATGTTTGAAAATAATATTGCTTATTTAAAATCAAGGCTATGGTGGAAAACCTTATAGTTTAATGTATAATTATATGGGCTTTCTATTTTTAACAATTAAAAAAACGTGTTTTTAATGAAAAAAAAAAAGTTACTATTTCGTTATTTATTTAAGTAAATGCTTTGCTTTAAAATATTTTCAACAAATTTTCAAGTTATGAAATTCCTTTAACTCTAGATATATATATATAATTTACCATATAAATAAAAATACTTTTATATTTATACTATGAAATATATTATTATTATATCTATAAGTACATTAAAGTGCTTATTAATATTTTTAATTCGCAGATTTCAATATTTACGATTTTGTTAATATTTCTGATCTCTTTTAAGAATACTTATGTCACCGATTTTATAAAATCAAAACAACAAAATAAAAAACAGTGTTTATTGAATATTGTTTAAGCAATCAACTTTCTCTAACGTTGATAATTTTTAATTTACAAACCGATGTTTATAGGTTGATTTATCAGAATAGTCCAGGTTTTATGGAAATCAAATTATAGATGAATTTCTTATAAAAATTGCATCTGTGGATCAAAAATTGAGTACAAAAATTACGAAATAATTTAAATTCGTAAATTTGCAATTTCAAAGTTCCCTTCTTTCACTAATATTTAATGAAGTTGCACGAAGATAATTCCCTTAAAAAGTAGTGAGTGCATATTATTGCTCAACTAAATCACGAAAAATTGTATGCGGAATAATACATATATAAATATACATATAGAAGAAAGAGAGAATACGGCCGATAAACGGATAAGGTATGGAAATTGGGTCAATCCATTTCATTTATCGATACATAATGTACGACTTCGCCCACTTTTACTGCTATCGCATATGTCAACATGAACGTAAATTCGAAAAATACGTTCATGAAAGCCATGTAAGTCTTCTCGGATCAATAGAAGTCAGGGGCTCGATGATATAACACCCAATGCGTATGAGGAAGAAGGAATTTACGACCTTTACTGTTACCGCTGCCTCATTTACAACCCTGTTCTCTCTCTCTCTCTCTCTCTCTCTCTCTCTCTCTCTCTTTCTCTCTACTCCCCTATTCGTATCTTCATTTCACTTATCTCATTATATGTACATTTTCACCTTTAAAAAATTTCATTTAATCTAAATTCTAGTGGATGTTGTTTCTGCAATATTTTCTTTGCAGCTTAGATTATGTTGATATTTATATTGAAAAATTGAATTTCATTTTATCATTAAATCTAGTTTAAATTCAAAGATCAATCAAATTGAACTCGATAAGGAAGCTGTTTTAATATTTATTTTATAAAATAATTTATTTATCCTTTGAAAATGCATGTTATTATTATTTTTTTATTAAATAAATTTTTGTACGTATATATCAAATTTAGCATAAATTTAATTTAGATAAAATATGTATTTGATTTATTTAATTTGTGATTGATAAAATTGATTGATTAAAATTATGAATTTATTTTGGAAACCAAACTTCTTAAAAATAATACTAGATTTTATTATTAAATTACTAATAATTAATTATTGACTATCAATCTATTGAAATTCTGTCAAAAATGCAATTCAAAAACATTTAATTAATTATAAATAATTTTAAATAATTAATTTATTATTTATTAGTCAAATTAAAGTTTTTTAATAATGTATTAATTATTATTTAATAAATGTTAAATTAATTAGTTTGAATCACGTAGATTAGAAAATAATTTATTGGTCTATTTGGATTTTATACACATCAAATTTAAAGTTTCAATAATATATATTGATGACAAAATTCGGGATGTATTATATTGAGCATTAACATAGGACCTATCATATTTGCAGGAATGGAAACACAAGACTACAGAATTCCAGAGGTTATGCGTCGGTTAATGTGTGAAGATAAAAAGCTTAGCAAGGAAGCTGTCATTAATGGCGACCAGGTACATCTTCATCATGTTTCGCTGCAGCATCGTCTTCCACAGGTAAAGAATTAACGAGAGATGGCTATATTTAATCAAAGCTATAATCAGATTTTCTTTTATTCAATACTGAAAGCAGACAATATATACATCATCTACATTATAAATTTCAAACACATTGCATTAATTACGTTAAGTAAATTGTAAATATGAAATTGCTTAAAAACCAGAAATAAATCAGTGATTTTAATTTTGATAATTAAAATGAAAAAATAAAACTACTAATAAAGATATTTATTCGATTTTTACTTCAATAATGTTTAAACGACTGAATTTATAAATCGGAACTATAATAAAATCATCAATCAAATGAACTTTAAATTTTAATACTTTACATAGAATAAAAAAATAATATTATAAATTATTAATTTAATTATAATATGTATGAAATTTTCAATAAAAATTAAATTTTTTAATTAGATATATGTACACATATTGCTTATAAATAGCCAAATGAATATAAATAGTTCAGTGAGACGATTTCAGTTCGTTTTACAAAGATAATAGCTAAAATAAACTTCTATGTAAAATTATCCGTTACGATATGGCGATTCCATATAGAAACTTACTAAAAAGAGCCCAATTTATAAAAGCAATGTATCGGTGTATACAATATCACGATTATAAATTATTAAATTAGTAATGAACAACAATTGAGATGAAAGAAATGGAAAATAAAAGTGTGCAAGCGATCGACGAAAAGCTACTTGACTATCAAAGTACTGATATAATCCCTTCACAACGGTTTCTTTATTAACTTTGTGCATCCTCTCAGTCGGGCCAACGACCACCGATGACAAATGATGATTTCAATCCGGCAATTGAGGAGGAGGCGAGCGACAGCGGCCAAGGCCGGCCCATACTAAAAATTCCGTCCTACAAACCGGCGGGCAACGCCCCAGGTCCGAGCAAGAACGGCACCGAGCCAAGCACAGTGGCATTCTCCCAGGGTTTCAACACGGTTCCGGGCAGTCCAGCACTCCACGAGCGTGCGAGTCCTGCCTTCTCTGGTACCAGTTCGCCAACTAACTCCCTCGTCGGCAAGAGCATGGTCGTCAACTTCCGCGACGTTATCGCTAAAAGTATCAGCGTCAAATTTCAAGAAGGACAGACAACTACGGGCATCCCATGTGAGTGAACTGCCAGCAATATTAGTTTCACTTCGGCTAGCAAATTATAATCAAATCAAATACATCAAAATTGCATGTGATGCCATAATCCCGTGACTAGATATTGACACACAGAAAGCTTAAAGAAGATTGATGAGAGTTTTTAGTACACACTTTATCAAGATGATAAGAAAATCGATCTTGCTTATAAAACTTCTCAAAATCGATCGAGTAAAGCGTGTATTAATTTAATTTTAACATCGCTGTTCAGACATTAGGGTACCAGCATACACACATCATTTTACTTGGTTGATTTTAAACTTTTCCACTACAATTTTTATTCTTCACTACAATATTTATATTTAAGACTGTACATACTTTAAAGATTTATTAAAACATTTTATAAAATTATTATAAAAGACTATTGTTTAAAGTATGATACATACCTTAAGTATCCTTATCGATAAAATTATCCTATTAGTGTAAAGAAAACCAGATTATGCAATTTTAACCATAGTGACATTAATGAAACTAATATAAAAAATAAGCAAGAACATTTGACGACAACGTTACAGGTGATTAGACGTTTGAAAAAAAACTAATAAAAAAAGTAAAAAAATTCTTATATTTTCCATGTGTGCATACTCATTACATATTTTTTTATATTCAAAATTTATCCTCTTTTACCACAGATAATTTAATTATAGGTTGTAATTTTTTAGTGCTTTCCAAAAAAAAATGTATTACGAAAGACTCAATATATTGATCAACATGATAGTTTTGAAAATTAGTTGAGTTCGTGATAAAAAAAGCATGTCACTGAAAGGAACAATTAGTATTTAAAAAATAATAATATGAATATTTTTGAATCCAACATTAAAAAAAGTGAAATATGAAGTAAAATATATGAATGAACTAACTTGCTAATAACCGTTTAGCTCAAGGAGCGCCAGTGGGCCAGTCAATGATCACCGAATCGAATCCTTACAAAAGAGGCCGATACACACCACCACAACAGTCCCAGCAAGGTACGGGTGGTCAATCGCAGCAATCGAAAACCGGGGCTCAGTCCCAGGATAAGCAGCAGAATAAACCCAATACGGGAGGCAAAGGTACGAGGCCGAAACGCGGTAAATACCGCAACTACGACAGAGACAGTCTCGTCGAGGCCGTGCGGGCCGTGCAAAGAGGCGAGATGAGTGTGCACAGAGCCGGCAGCTACTATGGCGTTCCACATTCTACACTCGAGTACAAAGTCAAGGAGCGGCACCTCATGAGGCCACGGAAAAGGTAAAGCACGTTACTTACGTTCTTCCCTTTTGAGCTCGGTACAATCCTCTTTCTTAAATCTTAAAATAAAAATAACGATCGAATGGTCAAGAAGGTTACTCCATCGATTGATGAGCGACTGTCGTTTTATAGGGATCAAAAGCAGCCGGAGGACAAAACAAAAGAGGTAACGACGGCCACGAGTTCGACGCTGCGCACTACCGTACCGACGACACCGGACAAGAAACCGCTCCTTAAAACTCCCCAAAAGCCGTTCGCACCTGCAACCGGCAGCGCTGGTCTACCCGGACCGAACGGCCTCAAGATACCGCCCTTCATAGACGGCATGCCGCATTTACCATTTGCCCATCCCTTCAATTTTTGGGGCCCAACGCCCTTCATGCCCTCGCCCTTTATTCCAGGAGGACCCAACGTCCCAGGCATTATACCGGAACAGTACTTTGCCACTCAGCGTATGCGAGGCCTTCAGGAGCAGCAACGTAATGCCATCGTTCAGCAGCAGCAACACGATGGTGCACCAACCGAACAGCCAGGTAGTACATACACAAACTTATGTAAATAATGTATAAGCTTTGTGGCTTATTTAGGCTCTCTTCATGCCCAATCGAATGATAAAATATTGATAAATGTTGGAATTATAATATAATAATAGTACGTAATATCATTGAGAATATATTTACCGTTGGGATATAAAATTAAGATTAAAAATGTATTTACTATAATTTCTCGTAAATAAACTGCTTGTTGCTCGATTGATTTACGTTATCTTGATAAAATATCATGCCATCTGTAAAACAATTAAATCTAAGGTATCTTGTTCAATCGGCCAATAGGCACATCAAATCCTCGAAGCGCCTCGATGATAAAATCACCCCGTGAGATGGCTGAAAGTCTATACGATGGTACAGCAGCCAATGGTAGCTTCCTTGATAATCTGATAAGATCCAGTCTCGAGTCGGGTATACCACGAGAGCGTGCCATTGCAGAGGCACGGAGCAATGCCGCTCAACAGCACCAGCAGCAGCCGTCATCTCAACAACATTCCGAAAACTTAAGCAATAGCAAGGTGTTGATCGATCAGTTGTGCAGGAACTCGAGACGCACGCCACTACCACGAACGGGCCAACAGGACAGTAGCGAGGACGAATCGCCGAACTACAAATCAGCCTCCCAGCAAAGACCTCTTCCCGAACGACCTGAGCGAGTACCTACTGTCGATCTTAGTCCATCGCCCTCGGAGCGAGCGAGAGCCATAGATGAAAGCAGCGATAGAGGCCTCACCTCACCGCCTACGCCGCTTTCCCTCTCAAGGCTCAGTGGTTCCGGCAGGGAGGACGAAACCACCCGGGACTCAAGGAGTAGTCGAGAACGCGAGGTAAAGAGCGGTCGGTGTTGCGTTTGGTGTTGGGACAGCTCTAGCCTCTTCATAATATATTTATGTCCAAAGTATTTATTAATTTATTTAATGTCATTAAATACATTTATTCGAAAAATCTCTTTGTAGCTTGTAGGTCTAATTAATGATCTTTTTACTCCGTGATGTACGTTTGATTTTATTTGATTATCGAATTCCAATATATATCTTTAAACTTTTATATTAAATTGAATAGCAGTTTAATAAATAATAGTTCCAGGAAACAATTATATAATTTGAATTCACTTGAAAGCAACCTTATTTTACGAATACATTTTGTTATGGACATAAATATCTTAGAAAAATGTTAATAATATAATTCGCTAATTTCTTTATACAAATATAAATTAAAGATTTTTGGTTATGGCCGATTAATGTCGCTCTTCTTTTTAGACTATTTGAATAGAAAAATAGTATAGAAAATATGAAGATATATAATATCAATATATCAATTAATGATTTAATTATAAATTAAATCAAGTCTATATAAATAGAAAACTGTGGTCTATATCTATTTTAAGGAATAATACATATATAAACCACAAATTGTACGCTTAAATCTTCCTTAACAGTAAGACTTTCATTACGTATTCATGTATATTAAAATGAATTCTATAATGAAAATGCTTCTATTTTACGATACGAACAATGGTATTATTAAATCTCTTGTTGCTATTGTTGAAAATCTGTTTTATAATATAAAGTATTAATTCTAGCGGAAAAATATTATAAGAGCGTCAAATAGAGTAGCATTTACTTATTTTCAACTTATAACACAACATCATAGTTTAAATATATGAAATAAAGTATGATATAGTATTTACCGTAAGGTTTTACATTACACAAATACTCTTTATTAGTAAACTTTCAGTAGTTAAAGCTTCATTTACTATATTTCTATAGGTAGTTACACGAATAGAGACTGTTATGGCTTCTGTGGGACACAATGGTGATAGTTAAGGGTACGGCTGTTATATACGGTTACATATTTGGATCGTATAGCATTTTTATTTAATTTCTTACTCAACTATTAATAAAATAAAAGTATTCATTTAATAATAAGTGCACCATAAAGCAGGGTTACTTCAATCTTAGAGCGATTAATAATCATATTGATTGACTATATTCGATTGTTAATGATTAATAATCGCGTATAGTAATAGAATCTTTTATGTGCTAGTCTTTGCCTACATATTAAGAAGTGAATTCTTACGAAATTGAATTGAGAATTTGAAATCACCGTTATTTTTAATGTATTATATTAAAGATGCAAACCAATCTATAATTTCTTCTTAAAATTTCATTTTAAGTCCTCTATCAACATTGTTTTTATACATATTAGTACCTAGATTGAAAGTATTTATAACAATAAAAATTACTACAATAAAAATGAAAAGTATGAAAAATGTTATACAATCCAAATAATCGATATCAGTGAAAAATTGAAACATTATGTAATACTATAATGCTTGAATGTATTTTAGGTACAAAATGGTGGCGGTAGTGAGAAGACAGAGGATCGCCCAGAAATGAACAACAAAAAGTTGAACCACTACTCGGATATACACAACCTCTATGCCGTATCAACTGACAAAAAAAGTGCCTGTGATAGTAAACTTGTAATAGATCATTCAAACCAGAAGACTCAACAACATAAGGATTACGCGGCTGGGACTGGTGACTTGGTGGTACAGCTGCAGCGCGGCTACAGCAACTCCACTACATCTCCTGTCATCGTCACGGCCACCGGTAATGGCTGCTCGGATATACCAAACAATCAGCTGCAAACATCGTTACAACAAGCGACACCGCAGGAGCGAGTATCCTCGCCAAGTCCACAGCCGACGATGATGGAAGAATCGGTAGAGCAGTAGAGACAGAGAGAGGGGGGATACAGAGAGAAAGAGAGAGAGAGAGAGAGAGAGAGAGAGAGAGAAGAGAGAAAATGAGAGAATGTCTGTCTCTAAACGATACGATAATGGAACGGAGATATATAAGTACTACTGTTATACGCTTAATGATATAATTGAGGGGGCGGTGAGAAGTAAGAATTATAACTGATCGCGCGCTGTTTCTAAATACACTCAATACGTTCTTTTAAAATTTAGAAGAAGGAAATTTATACATCGGTAGATAAATTATTAAAATGAAAGAAGATGATCATGTGACCCTTCTGTTCATGCTGTTACAGAAGCTCATGGATTATGCATCCATAGATACATACGTACATGAAAACGTGACACTCCTATTCATGTCCATCGACTTCTTCTTGACATAAAACTCTGTATAATTCATTTAGAGATCTGCAAAGTCGTGTATATAATGCACACGTCAAAGGATATAAATTTTCAAGCTAAAAATTGATGCAAATTAGCCGAGATTCCTTTCTTTGGAGTCAACTAATATTTTTACACTACCTTTTCTAGAACACCTGAGTGTAAGTCAAAAAATATAACCTATCAATTCAACTATCTTTTTTCCAAATTAATCTTTGGAATTATCTTATCATGGTGTCAATCTAAGAATTAAAATGAAAAATTTTTATACAAAAATTTCTAAACGTCAACAATATTTACTTAGATACACCATAGCAAAATGATTCATTTTATTTTACTTAAATTTTTCAAAATATACTGACTTTAAATTAATTTCAAAGATCAAATATTGAACCTCAAATAATAGGATAATGAATTTTTATTGCATTCTAAATAGTTATTTTTTAGTTACTGAATTTATATATTGTTGGAAATAAAGATAAGCAGTAATTTTTATTGAAACAAATTAAATAAGTAATTCGACATTTTATTGCAAAAATGAAAAATTTCGTGTTTTGCCGTAATACCAGTAATCTTTTCATTAAATTCATCCAAATCCTTTTAATCGGGTCTTTACTTTTAAGTTATATACTTATTGATCTTTATTTCATTTAATGTTCTACATCTTCATACTGTATAAGTGATTTTTCTCATCTCATATAAATTTTGTCTTGATATGGGGCTGATGGTCCATACATTCAATTTTTATTATAAAATGACAACATTTTTAAAATGCTAAATTACTGCTAAAATAATATCATACGTAAACAATTTGGGGATGTAAACAATTTTCTCTAAAATAACATTACAATTTAGTTACAATGAAATTACTATTTCAGTTAAATTGCAAAAAAGTACTTTTAAAAAATGGTTAAATCTATAATTAAAAAAAATATATTATAACTATTCATTTTAAATAACTATTGGTATAAATTCGTATTTAAATTTGTTAAATAATTTGTGCCAACAAATATAACCTTTCTGCAATATAAAATATTTTAATAATGAAATAAAAGCAAGCATTTTACATTTCAATTTATTATATTGAATTCTGAGTTTTTAATTAAATAAGAACGAAATATAAATTATATATTGAGTTCTAAAAATGAATAAAATACTATAATATGAAAACTACGTATACAATAATCACTATACGCCAACAAACCACTTTCAATAGCTGCGATTCAAACAGTTAAAATACTTCGTATTTCAACGATTTGCAAGAATGAAAGAGAAAAGTCATTATAAAAACTTTTCTCAAAATTAACTTCATGAATATACGTGGTGCAAAATTTTTGACAATTAATAAAAAATTATTATATGGAGAAATATTACGAACTAAAATAATATACGAAACGATTAAAAATAAAAAAAAAATAACCAAGCAAACAAATTTTCGTAATATGCTTTGTTATTATACATATAAATACACAGAAATATAAAGTCTAATACAAAGTACACATACACGATACGAACGCCTATATGAATTTAAAAAGATAAAAAAACTTACAAAAAGAAACCTTAAAATTTAAACATCCGTGATGATGATCCGCGAAGATTGCATGACCCTCAAAAACATACTTAGAAAACCCCTGCTAAAAGCAAAAAAATATACGTGTGATTTGTATGTATAAAGAAGTCCCAATTATGCGATGCAAATTAAATAAAAAAAAAAGAAGAATGGTAAATATATACGTACGATTAAAATGCGAGAGGATGTCAGTGCAATAATCTAGTGAGAAAAGAGAGAGATCACAAGTTTCACTAGATTATTCCATGCTGTTTCTTATTAGTTGTAATTAATCGATATTGTCGTTCATCATAATGAAATATGAAGATAAAATGCTATAGGAAATTTTGGAACAAAGTTATGAGCGCAACTTATTTTTTTCTCTGTCATTTAAAACTACCTAATATATGGGAAAATAACTTATACCAACTATTAGCGTTTAAGAATGCAACATAATTATATAAGGATATATTATATATAAATATACATATACATATATTTTTGGTCATTAAAAATGAGAAAAAAGACAAAGGTTTAAAAGGCGAAATAAATAATGATGCTAATTAATATTTTCGTTAGTACGCATCAAAGCATGTTTTTCATAAAGCGACAATATTCTCGAATATCTCAATTTCTAAAGAGCGACATTTGAAAAGTACACTGGAAAAAGCTAAAAATAAAGAATAAGTTTCAATAAGGATACGAGTAAGAATAAAAAATAAGACAGATACCTTTGAAAATTATCTTAATTGACTATGAGAAAAACAATAAACATAAGACATTAAATAGTTTTGAAAACAGTTTTCTCGACATTATTTGAAAAAATGGAAATATTGAAAGCTCCAGATTGAGAAGAGGAAAAGAGAAAGTCCATAAATTTTTTTATATGATAATTGCAAATTTTCTACTGCTTCTGCGAACATTTTTATCCAAGGAGCAAAACAATATAAAAGCTATTCTACAAATATTTTTCCGCCTATCGCATCGTCTAATCAAATAATGAGAAAAACGGCGAAAATTTTCATATCGGATTTGATTTCTCTAGCAATAAGAGAAAATGATTCCATAAATGCATAGTTCACTTAACGCCTAATACAGGAATAAAGCACATTTCTTCACTTTGATATATGAAAATTCTAAACTAAAGAAAATTACTCCTCATCTAATGTATAATTCCAAATAGGAACTTCACATTTAAAATTATCGCATCCTGATCTTTCAGGTTCCTAAAGCGTCGCCCTCGAGCTACGTAACATCCGCGAAGTTACTGAGAAAAGGCAAAAAAAAAAATAAAGAAATTTATTATTCCTTTGTTGTATGTTAATATATACAACTTTCCATTTTTCGAGAAGAAATTTCATGAGTGAACTTTGGAAATCCAGGACAAGTCCAAATGCAGAGAAATAAAAACCTAACACATTGGTATATAGTATGATCTAAGACAAAAGACGGAAAAACTCTGTAGATGAAAAGGATAAAAATATATTGAGAACAAACGAAGAAGTGGCTACACAAGAAGACCACTCATAATCAAAAAATGAAAAATGAAAACATTGCAAATCTAATAGAAAAGTTTCTAAATAATCAGCAAATAAAATGTAACAACTACGCATTCATCATGACTCTTATTCGACTGATATTTTAGGCTGTAAATAAATTAAGGCATGTATGTTCGGTGTTTAAAAATGCAAGCATTTCCTTATTAAAAAAATATCTATATACGATAAAAATCACGTATAAATAGTACATCTACTCTTTTGGTGTTTTTTGGAAACTTAAAATGAAATTTATTCGTGCGAAATCTAAAGGTAAAGCATGAGTTATTATCAAGTGTATAAAAAGTTTTTAAAGTCTCACTGTAGGCCATAGAAAATAAATTCCAGATTTCAACGGACTGTATAAAAAAGCATGCAAATAAAAATGAAGATTTATTAAAAAGATAAAATAATTCAGTAGATAATATTTGTGCATAATCATCGTTTGAACAAATTTTATGATTGAAGAAAAAATTTCAAAATAAAAGAAATTTTTTGACGATTCTTCTAATCAAAAAGAGGTGATAGAAAAATTAAAGTAAATACTCTTTATTTGAGAAAGTTACTTATTCTCAATCGAAAAGAAACAAAAAACTTAAAGTCGTTTAAAGAAATTAATTTTATTAACATGAAACACGATACAAAAGTTTGTTTATTCATTATATATAAATGATATTTAAAAGATATTATTCTACGTCATCTGTCATTTTTTCTTAAAATTTTATAGCTGATATAAAGTATGATGCCATAAAATATACGAGATAAATTTAGAATTTAAAAAAATTTCGAAAATAATATATAGTACTTTGTTTCGTTTTGAAAAATATATGGTTAATTGACCTTAACATTATATTTCAGATTTAAAGATTAATATTTTTCTACTTCCAAATATCATTATAGCCTTTGTTAAATAAAAAAATCCTAAATAATTTTATTGAAATTAGAATCATAATTTAAAATTTGATTCAATTTGTTTCAATAATTTTTGATAAAATCGACACGTGTATACACAACTAAAGTCATACTTGTATTATATCACTGTATGTAATATTTTTCAAATCGAGCGCGACTGATATTGATATACATACTATAGAAGATTATAAAAATAATATTTTTACAAAATGCCAAGAGTACAGTAATATATGATTTCAAATTTCGAAATATTTTCAGAAAATATGAAGCTTATTATTAAAATAATATAAATATTTACGACTACAAAAATATTATTCTAAATTTTCTTAAACTGTATGAAATCTTAAAGTTTGAATAAGCTTTACAACAATGATATTTCTAAATATCAAGATTTTGCGCGCTCGATAAGTATGTGACACCTCTTTTCTGCAATAAGAGATGCTTTTAATCGTGGTCCACTTGGTCTTTTTCCCGAACACTCAATTTTCTCGAGTTCACTCAAATTTGAGATAGCTATTTCTCCCTGAGGCTCATTCTCTTTAAGAAAAACAAATTTATCGTTAGGTGTGAAATTTATATAGTATTATATACAAATGGATCTATCGCTATCGTGATTGTGGTTTTTAATAAAAAAAAAAGGAAAAAAAAGAAAAGGTTATAATTAAGGAACTCGTTGTGATGCGTTCGTTTGAGCCTTTTAAAGTAATGTGTAAGATATAAGAAAAATAAAACTAAAATAACATATAGGAAATTGTTTCTTGAGCTTATCGGAAGCGTTGTTTTCGCATTTCATTTACTGGACTAAACGTTTGTCGGTTAAGTCTGTAAACTAAATGTCTCAAATGGTCCCTAGTGATAACATAAAAATCTACAAGAAAAAAATTGAATGTAGAAATTGGTATACGATCGCGCCTTTCGATGCCGTCGAGTATCTTGTCGTGTTGACTCTTTCCTGCAATTTTCGCAAGCTGAAATGAAACAATTAGTAACCCTCTAAAAATATTCATTATTGGAGCACAAAAACTATTTTTATATAATGAAATGACTATTCTTACGTGTATTTAAATACATCTTTTTTAATTGTTTGTCTTCGACATAAATATTGATGTATTGCTCGTAAGATTTTTTTCCAAAGTAATTATTTTTTAACTTAAAACT